GTTCCGTGCGCCTTCGGTGTTTAGTCATGCCAGCCACATGACCACGGAGACGTCTTCGGATAGCGCTGGCTCTTCTTCGGCTTTGTAATGGAGGTGAGCAGCGCCCCCTAGAGCCAGGAACAACTAGCATGTATGTGTGAGGGGAACCTTTACCTTCCCTTGCACCTATGTACTAGTCGTTTACGAATGTGGCGCATGGAACGATGTTCCCTTCCCACCAAAGTGGTCCCTGTTTTTCTACTTGCATTTTACTTGCTTTCCAACTGCTAGGTTGGCAGAAGCTGGGACAAGGAATGGGAGCTCACTCCGTTACGTGGCACTGGGGATTCAAACTGCCGATCTTTCTGATCGACAAGCTCAGCGTCTCAGCCACTGAGCCACCGCATCCCCCTTAGGGTATACATAAAGGTACCTAAACCCACTAACTTAAAGAAGGCATAAAATATCTGGGATTCATCCCAAGTAGTCCTTGACTTACAATCACAATTTGAGCCTGAGGTTTCTGTTGTTAAGTGAGACATTGTTAAGTGAATTTTGCCCCATCTGATGACGTATCTTGCCTCAGTTGTTAAGTCAATCACTGAAGTTGTTAAGCTAGTCACCCAGTTGTTAAGTGAATCGGGCTTCCCACTTGACTTTGCTTGTCAGAAGGTCGCAAAAGGGGATGACATTGTTAGGGATAACATTGTTTACCCTAACTGGTTTGGGTAAAAATAATAAATAAGTTATCATGGTTTGTTGGTTAAAGTGTGTGTAACTTTAACTACAAGAATGTAATTAAGGGTGTGGTTGTAAAAGCACCATAAAAGAAGCAAGTCAATTGCAACTCGCTCTCTCTGGCTTAATGATCCCTAATTACTGGATGGATTGATGACTGCGTTTTTCCTTACTGGAACGGAGGAGAGAAAGGAGTGTTGATTTCTCAACGGAGAGAAGAGATAATACGGACTGATTTATTGTAAGTGAACTGACATTGGCTATTCAACACGGACTTTGCAAATTGAGTATCCCCGACTGGACTGAATAAATTGATACATGACTAATGGACCGTTTATTTTGACTATGCTATAATTCCTAATGGAATAAACTATATTTTTGATAGCACAAGCGTATCTGTTTTTTACTGCGTGTTAACTAAAATACAAACTTGTCTCACACATTTACCTGTCTGCCTATCTGACTACGCTACGCATTCTGTTTAGTTTGTTTTCCTTAACACTCGTTGGGGAATTCAGGCTTAACAGACGTGACCCCAGGACACTTCATAAATACGAGTCAGTTGCCACACATCCGAATATTGATCACCTGACGACAGGGATGCTGTAACAGTCATAAGTGTGAGAAATTGTCATAAATCACTTTTTTTCAGTGTTGTAATTTTGAACAGTCCCTAAATGAATGGCTGTAAGTCGAGGACCAGTCTATACATACACTCTCCCACCTGCTTGTCCCCCTCCAGTTAACCCAAACACTGCATTACTCAGGAGCCCATTTTTGAATCAAACTACTTCAAATCCACTAACTTAAATTATACATAAAATACTTGGGCCCCTTACTTCTATGAATTTAAATTTTCACAATGTTTACATCCCTTTTGCCGCTTTTATTTGCAAAGTTCCGGCTACTGCAGTGGCCCTTCCGTCACACGATTGTGATTTCCAACGCTCTCCCAGCGTCCCACGAGCAAAGTCACTGGGGAAGCCAGCAGGAAATTGGAAGTCGCTTTCATTCCCAGCGCGTTATGATGCAAACACACTTTAAAGGAAAGTTCATTCTCGAAACAAATCGATCGCTATGTTGGCGAGTGGCCATCCTGACCGGAAAAAGGGCTAAAGAGGAAAATTAGCCTGGATTTGCTACATAAACACAAGTAGGCAAGATCTGATTCTCCTTTCTTCTTCCCGGCTGCAATATAAAAGACAGGACAGGCAACTCTACAAAAGGCTTCCATACAAAGTTTCTTTATTGGCTCACAAGGCATCCTCAAGGTATAACTCACAGTTATGTTGAGTTCCATCTAAGGTCCAATTCTTTGCATAGTTGACTTCATAGTGTGAAAATAATAGTTATTTTCATCCCATAACGATGGAGCAAAGGGCAAGACACCAGCACCCTTCTGGGGTCCAAGCAGGAGTAAAGGAAAACTCCCCCAACCCAACCATGGGTCAATTCAGTGACCAATCAGGACTACAGATAGGATCACATGACATGAACTACATTTCCCAGGATGCATTAACTACATTTACCATGAGGCATTCCCTTAAGGGGACAGCTCCCCATTCTAACTTAACTATCTCAATTCCCAATGACCTATTATACTGTCTGGACAGCACCCTACTCTTCCCCAGGCAAAAGTTGCCCATTTGGAGAGATTCTTGTATTATAGGCAGAGAACAATAAAGTAGCTAGTGTGAATTCTAGGCATGCAGTTTGGGTTGTTCCCGGCTGACAGGCTCCAAACAAAAGCAACTTATCAATCATCATTTCATGACCCCATAATCCCTTGCAGGGTAGAGTCTCGGCTGAATGGAGCTAGTGGAGTGTTTTAATGACTGGATGCCCTTCCTGTCGCCAGCACAGAGTTTTGTTCAGCAGATATATTCTCAGAGGGCCCAGACAGACCGAAATATCTGCCTCTACCTGGGATCGAACTCACAGCCTCCTGATTGTGAAACAAGAGCTCCAACTCTAGGCCCCTGCACCACTGCAAAAAGCAACTTATCAATAATAGAAAATAATACCAACTTAGATTCTGTGTAATCTTTTCACAGCGTTACTGTTGAGTACAGTTTTCATTTTTTATATCCTCATCAACTGCCGAGAGTCACTCATATTTAAGTACCACCTGGCTCATACTTAAGTGGTTGGTCAACAAGCCACTGCTGTTGAGCCAGGTGCCACCTATTCTGTACCTGTGCATTTTGTTTTGCTCGTTTTAGTGTGGGAGCTTACTTTGTTTCACCACCGAATTGCATCTTGTGCTCATTTTACATTCGTTGGTCTCTATTTCATCCCCTCTTCCCGTGAATGGAGGAGGAGAGCTAACACTGTAGCATCTGACTTAGGTTTTCTAGCAAGTATGATCTGGGGAGGGAGGGAGGGATGGAGGGAGGAAAGAAGGAAAGAAAGAAAGAGAGAGAGAGAAAAACAAAGGAAGGAAGGAAGGAAGGAAGGAAGGAAGGAAGGAAGGAAGGAAGGAAGGAAGGAAGG